TTTTTTTTTTTTGCCAAATTCTCATTTTTATACAGTACTTTTCCAACTATTTTCCACCAAATGCGGGACCCAGTCTGAAAATGCAATGAATTATCTAACATTTCCTACACACAAAGAGACGTAGCAATTGAAGTCAAATTTTCATATTCTATAAATTCCAATTTTGCCTTTGAAGTCATTGTTTGTTTCCTTCAAACATTATCTCAATTGATGGAGGGCAAATACGTAAATATTGATAGTACATCAGCGAGCAAATTTGTCCAAGTAATACAACGGCTCTATCATCTCTTCTTTCACTCTGACGACTGTGTCAGTCATTTGTCTGAAAAAATGCAGGAGAATACTGTAGTAAAATGAGAATTTGGCAAAATAATGGGTATCAAACGTGCACCTAATTTTAATCTCCATCAAATACCCTCATAAGTAATGACAAAATACAATAGATATTACTTTGAAAATAATAAATTAATATCTCTACTAGTAAAGTTGAAATGCACGAAAAATATAGCAGTCAATAATTTTTCAATATAATATACGATAAATAATATATGTTTTCTCTCTATTAAATCTTCGGGTTTTTTATTTCTTGAGGTAAAAGTACATTTTATTACCTTTAGTATCAACTATATAAAACCTAAGAAATTTAATCAAACTTTTATGATAATTATCAATTAAGGATCTACCATTTGATCTACCAAGGAGACAAGGACCCTACCTAGTTCACTTCAACACTTTGAGAGTGGGCCTAGATCTTTCAATGTGAATTTAATTTGAGGCCTAACTTGTACATATACAGAAATATCCCAAATTTGAGCAAATGAAAATTCAATATTCCCATTATAAATATTTTCATATTTATTTTTTGGATTTATATATTTAAATTAAAAGATGTACACCTTTGACGGAAATATACTTGGACTTTTGGGTGAGTTAAATCTTTTTTAGACCAATTTAAGGTTAAAATAGATAAAATGGGTATAATTATATTCAAATGACAATTTTTATTTGTTGCGCCACATTTTGACTGCACTTAATCATTCGATTGATTAGCATATTTCGCTCTTTCATCCTTGATTATGATTTCGGTCGAAATATTTAGTTCGTGTGCCTTGGAATAAGGAAAAATTACTTCATTATAAAGTTTTAACTGGTGAAGAATTTATTTACATTAAAAAGTCCGAATGTTTTCACCGGTGCATTAGAAAAGACACAAGTTGCTGCACATTTTTGCCCATGGAGAACGACGAATGTAAATATTGCAGGCACAACCTATTTCTTCATTCAGCTTTAGTGACATCCAGAAAAATCCCTCGTTCTGTCGATGGTATAAGGGTAAGTTTCGTGCTGTTTAGTCGAGCATAAACATAAAATATACACGAACGAGTTTTACAGACAATAATTCTGTGTCTTTGTTTTACAGACTGCAAGCAGATACTTTTTACTGGAAAGCGGATTAGCTTTGTTCATTGCATTCCTTATCAATGTGGCAGTCATATCTGTGAGCGGAAGCGTCTGCTCCAATCCCAATATCTCTTCAAGCAACAAATACCATTGCACCAATATTACTCTCAACTCAGCTGCTTTACTGCTCAAGGTATCTCACGTTGATTGAATACGAAAAAATAATAAATAATGGATAATGGTATGAACTACTCATCTTTAAAAAGGTTAAAACTTGAAAGACGGAATCTCAATGCCTTGTATGGTAAGCCCAATCGGATTCTAAGATTGAATTCTAAGGCGTGAACAGGCTGCAGGATTCTAAGATTGGTTTCCATAAACGAGTCACAATCTTCCAGGGTGTGTTAGGAAAAATTCCACACCGGTTAAATAGCACCATAAAATAAAGGTTTCGACTATTCTTTTTAATGAGATTGACTTTTTATAATATAAAACCCTAATTCCCAATGTTTTGTGTGTATGTGCATATCAAAATGCTAATAAACATATAAGAATACGTACAGGGAATTGTTCACAGAACAATTAAAGGTGCTGCGTTGACAACACCTATATAGGTGATTTTTTTTCTAACTATCCAATCACAGATCGACACGTGTATTCTGTAAAATTGTAAAAGTCTTTTATATGTGTTGCATGATCATCACGTTTTGAAGATATAAATATAAAAATGAATAACTTTATACTTTTTATAGCATTTATAACTTTAATGAGTTTATATTATAATAGGAAAGATGCCAAGTTTTATCACCGTTCATAATTAAACTTCAAATCAATCCATTAATAAATATGTAAAGTATTTTCTTTAATACAACTAATCTTGTGTTGCTTGGATTGGGAGTCAGAATGCTCTTGGGAATTGGAGTTCGAAACTGTATGCCATCTCCTTGCTTGCTTCTGGTCAGAGTTCAACTGTAACAGGGACCTATGCTGGCCAATACATTATGCAGGTAAACAATTCTGCACATATGTAGTGTTAAGGGATAGAATTTCTTGTCGAATAAAGATGAAAACATAGATCAATTTATAAGGGTTTGGACTATTCTTCTTAACAAGGTCGATCTTTTAATATGGAACATCAGGTCTTAATACAGTATCAAAGTCCACTAAAATCAAATGAGCAATTTGATCAGATTAGGACTCGAAAAAATGATCATTCGAATTTCAAAATTGGTCCGTTTAAATGATTTTGAGGGGGCATGTTAATGGATAGAATTCCATATCGAATAAAGATGAAAATATAGTCCATTTTATAAGAATTTTGGCCACTCTTGACAAGATTGACATTATAAGATTGAACATCAAGTCTTAATATGGTATTAGAGCTCATTAAACTCAAATGAGTAATTTGATTCGATTACAACTCAAAAAAATGGCATACGGATTTCAAGATTGGTATGCTTAATTGATCTTTTCGGAGCATGTTAAGGAATATAATCTTACATCAGGGCATGTTAAGGGATAGAATCATATATCGAATAAAACTGAAAAATAAACCAAATTATAAGGGTTTGAGCTACTCTTAATAAGATTTATCTTTTAAGATGGAACCACAAATCTTAACATCGTATTAGAGTCCAGTAAGCTTAAACGAGCAATTCAATTCGATTAAAACTCAAAAAAATGAGCACACTGATTTTAAGATTAGTTTGCTCAAGTGAGCCTACATCTTGCAGAGCATGTTAAGGGATAAAATCTCACATCTAATAAAGATAAAAAAACATAGACCAATTTATAAGGGTTTGGACTACTCTTAATAAGGTTGACATTTTAAACTGAAACCTCAAATTTTAACAGTTAGCATGTTCAGTAGAGAAGATTGAATAGCCAATAGTAAAAATATATAGCCATGGAGATGTCATTACTACTTGTTGCAGGGTTTTCTGGATTTGAAAATGAAGCTCTGGTTGAGAAATTTAGTGACCAGGTGTATAGCCATAGCCCCAAGCTTAATAGCCTGCATTATTGGTGGACCCTCTGCTGCTGCAAGGCTAATTATCATTGCTTCCGTAAATTCTAAATTTCTTTGTAATTCTAAACAAGATAACATGCCAAAAAAGATGCTCACTCTTTTTTTTTTCCATGTGATAATAGATGATTTTGTCATTTGAACTGCCATTTGCATTGGTTCCTTTACTGAAGTTCACAAGCAGTGAAGCCAAGATGGGAGTGCACAAGAGCTCTAAAATGGTAATTTTATTGAAGATAGTAAATGTAACCTAATGTTCCTAACACATAATTTTTTATGGTATTGTAACAAATTAATGCTGTTTTTCTATGTTGTTAACATAATATAGGTATCTCTGGTCTTGTGGTTCTTGGGAGCTTGCTCTATTGGGATCAACATATATTTCTTAGGCTCAACTTTGCTGGGATGGATTACAAGTGATCATATGCCTAAGGCTGCAGCCATAATCGCTTGTGTGGTGATTTCCCCGGTAGTCATACTTTACATTCTGATGTTACTCTACTTGACATTTAAGCCAGAAATTCCCAACATAGATTCCCAGCATTCTGGTATGAGCCAGGGCGAATCGCACGAATCAGAAATTACAAGGGAAATGGATAGCGACGGCATACAGAGAACAGTTGAGATTGAAATGGAAGATATTTGAGTGAATGCAAGGTGAGAATTGCTACCAGTGTATGGACAGAGCCTAATGCATTAGACCAGTAAATTATAAATTAATGAATAAGTCCCTTTTGCAAGGTTTTCCTTGTTGCTTTGGATTTCGAAACTTGTTCACGCCATAACATTGTCAACCAAACTACCCAACTTTTTCATATTAAACTACTGCTACGCCTTTTGGTACACAACTTGTGGGTTGAAGATAAAATTTTAGAAAACTGCTTGATGCCAATTCAGAAGTTTAACACTGAACACAAATTAACAAGTATCATACTATCATGCTACATGTACCGAATTTTTTTACCGAATCTTTTACCTACTACCCACAATGAGGATGGGGACCACATGTCAGAATTTTTAAATACACGCGAGCCCCGCGCATTATGTGAGAGGGGATAATCCATTATGTTCAAACCATTATGTACAAATAGACTAATCCAATTAACAAACAACAATAAGATTTGTGGATTATGCAGTGTAACAAACATGGTGCCACTAATTTAGATGATTCACCAAATTAAGATGAAAATTTCAATCTCAGCTTATTTCAATACAAAATAGTTTGGGTAAATCGTCCATAAAATGATTCTCAACTCATATTAGACTTGATATACTATAGACTATGGATATAGACTACTGAATTTCACTACATATATTTATCAGTAACTAGTGAAATTCAAGATTCAAGATCAAAGGAAATATATCAAATTTATTGGCCATAAAAACAAAACTAATTACTATTTCATCCAAAAGGGCTTCAATCCTAGCACAAGTCATGTTCTCAGTCTTCAAATTTTCATCAATACAGTTCACCTTACATCAAAATATATTTTCGAAAACCAAATTACAACTGTAGGTCTACTACCTCTCTTGATCTTTCCTCTGCTATGACTGTGCACAGAATCTTTATTAATCAAGAATTTCCATTTCCATTGCTATTACTTGCAATTGCTGGAACATAGCAGTTATCGAAACACCACACCCTTGCTAAGCTGGGCACTGGTTTCTGAATCTGATGTTCAAGATTAGTAGACAAGGCGCTGCTTCCGGTCGCTGAAGTCCAACTTTTCGTCTGTAAAGAATTTCGAAAAGCCTTCGATTTTGAAGAATTCAGGTTTTGAAACGAAATGGATTTTGGTTTCTGAATATGATGCTCGTGATTAGCATACGAGGCACCGCTTTCTGCTGCAGAAACCCGACTTTTCATCCCTGAAGAAATTTGATCAAAATTCCTGTGGGTGAAACCTCGGTTTAAAAGTCCCATAGTAGCTAATCTTTGTTCCTGTAACTTCAAGTGTATGTCTTGATTGATAGAAATCAGCGACTCAATGGAGGTCGCAAGATCACAATGAAGATTCAGGAATGAGGCCATTTTTTGAACTCCATTACTGAATTCTGGGGTGCCCTCTCCATGTGAGAGAGAAAAAGGAAAATTGAAGCCCATAAAAGGAGAATTTCCTGAAGGAGGACAAAGATTAAAACAAGGGATTGTTGGAGATTTTCCCTTGCTGTCAGTACACCTTTCGGTAGTGCCAGAAGCAGTTGATAAAATTCTGAAGGGTAAAATACTTGGACAGCGAAAATCAGAGGCTGGTAATTTCAATCTAGCTGTAGTATATGATCCATCGGAGCAGTGCTGTGAATCTCTCAAAGAAGACTTCAGTTTCTTGTTTTTCAGACAGCCTCCATGGACAGGACCGGCACCAACTAGTAGGCTGCGTAGGTTTCCTCCTTTCGCCCAGTACATTCTGCATGTCTTGCAATAATACCTCGGCTTTGTGAGACTGTGATTATTGTAGTTGCAAAACATGGTGTGTACGGAATCACATCTAGGGCACTTTTGGGTTGCCTCTTGTGGCGTCGCAACCATCGTCTGATGGCTTCCGGAGATCTGGCTTTTACCTTTGCTAGCTGTCTTTGCCTGCATTCTATCAGCGTATGATATTCAGAAGGTTCTTCTACTGATACTTGAAAAAGCAGCTTTCAAGGTGTGATCTCTCTGGTAAATCACTTGAGCACTGGTGAATTTAATATATATATATATATATATAGGGGGGGGGGGGGGGGGGGGGGGGGGGGGGNCAATGTTGACCATTGAAAATGAGCCAACAGATGCCGGGCCCACTCACGACAAGTTAAGTACGATTTCGACGCGTTCCTACCAAAATAATTGCGGTAGCAAGAAAGAAATGGGCGTATGAGATACTTTGCTGCGAGAGACAAAACTGTTCAAACTCCGCCAAGTGAAACAAAAGCAATCGCGCTAACAACGATCGCCGGACAGAGACCTCGAACAAATCTAACAAATAGGAATATATAGAAGGATAGATAAAATATACATAGAAGTTGCTATGTTGTATATTAAAAATTTTTGTGATGAACATGTAAGCAAAACGAGAAACATTCAACCAAATGTTTGTCTGAAATCCTTGAGAGTTCAAGTGTGTATATCGAATATATGATGTCCCAATTCCAATTCATCCATCCTCCTTGTTTAGTTACAAAGAGAGCATATTTATACTGTCTTGACCGATGTGGTGACCGTTGGATCAGAATCACGTGACTTTATCTCCCTAATTGAGGCTTCACATGAAGAGAATAAAGACAAAACTATTTTTTTGATTGTTGAGTCTATCTTCTTTGTCAAGTTACATTTATCACCTTCTTGATTTTTTGAATCTTGCCCCCCTTCAATTCCTGCTTCAAAGTGATATCTAGGGTTGTATTTATAGATTTATCAATTTTTAGATGAATTGAGGATGGATTGGGCATTCAAAAGAATCCAAAAATTTTAAAACTCGTTTCTTGTCCAGTGGCGCCTTAGCTCTAGCATCACAGCATTGCGGCGTCGTGATGAATCCGTTTCTAGTGTTGTGGCGCCAGACTTCTATTTCTTCTTGTTGTTCAGCTGATGCTACGGCGCCAACTCCCTGTCAGTATTCCCTTGCTCCCATGGCTGGGCGCTGCGGTGCCCAACTTCTGTATTTTTTTTATTTAATTTTTTTGAATGACATTTAGGCACTTTTTTCATGTCTTCTTCCACACATTATTTTTAACACAATCTACACCTCTTTTCACCACTTTGACATATATATAAAACAACATCAAAACAAACATTAATACGTTCTAAAACACTCTCAAGAACAACTAAATAACAATCTAAAATGGTATTAAAACTATGAGTGAAATACACTCATTAAACACCCCCAAACTTAATATTTTGCTAATTCTCGAGCAAACATAAAACTTAAAGAAAAGAACTAAGGACACAGTGGCACAAATAAATGAACAATGTCACCTAAAACAAGTTTAGTTAGCTAGCTAGCTTGCCTCTATGGTTCAATGTTAAAAACATTATATCAAGTCTATAAACTATTTCAAAATTATAATGCAAAAGCCAAATTCTCACATAGTTGTGTGTGTGTGTGAATAATTAAGTGTAACGCTGTGCATAAACAAATTGATCCAATTTTCAACCTTAGAAGTCAAAAATTTCATTTCTTTTCTCGTGGGTTTCACATACTCCCAGACTTGTTTTCTTTTATTATCTTCCCTAGGTACATTCTAGAGTTTATTTTCATTTTCTAATTTCTTCTGCCTCTCAAATTTGGTTTGATATAATCGGTGATGCCAAAGATTTATAAATGTGATGATTCTCCCAATTTATGAATGTTTTGACAATCAAGCCTATACTAAACAATTCAAATCCACTAGTTATCTAAGCTCTTACAATTTAGTCATTATTGCACATTTAATTACATAGTTTGATATTGCCTTTTCATTTTAAAATTAAACTCACTATTATTTTAGTCGATAGCTTCCCAGTTTTAAAGGCCAAAGGGTATCAGGTTTCGAGAGATCCCAACGAATTTACTAACTTGATCAAAAAAGCGCTGGCGTGATGCATAGAAGTCAAGTGCAATGCTTGTTTTTTTACAAGAAAATCAAAAATAAATGGGCTAGATGAAATCATCACAAGCCTAAATCATATCTTTTACTGGCTTGAACACCCCTAATTGTATTCTAGAAGGTTAAGGATGTAGTGAATAACAGGTTATGGGAAAGTTATCTATTTCAACTTATAAGTATGAATCAACATATTCATATACAACGTTACAATCAATTCACATGCAAATTTAATTTCAAGTTTCACATTAATAGGCAAAAAATATTAACTAAAACACATAACTCCATTACAATTCATAAACTAACAAATGTTCGGAATTATATACATCATGTCCTGCAAGACTCTCTAACTCACATAAGCATGCAATTTTTTTTTTTAAACACACACAAATCACTCAAAGTTAAAACAAAAAATCTCATAAAAATAACTAAGCAATTAGACAATTAATATTTCACCGCTCAAAATTAAACTAAACATTGTCTCCAATGTGAAATCAAAGAAAAAGGAATAGAACTTCCCTGAGTGAAAATATTGGTTGTCTTCATTGCTATTGGTGGCATGGTGATGCGATGATGGATTTGATGGATGCCGACTCTAGCTTCTGTCCCAAACTTGAGATTTCCTATGAGAAAAGCAAACTCATTAATAACTACTAATAAAAATAAAACTAATATCTAAAGATAAGAGATAGAAATATAGAAAGATTAAGTTGCCTCCCAAGAAGTGCTTTTTTAATATTGTTAGCATGTCACTGTCAGATTGCCTTAAGTAGAATCTTTAGAAGGCACTTCCTTTATCTTTTAATACTTGTCCTCAGCTTTGGATTTTTCCTCAATATAGTATGGCAACAAGGATGAAGAGGCGACTTCAACTCCGATATATCCTTCAAAACCTCTTTTGATTTGATAATGTTGGGAGGTTTCATAAGTTTTTCAATGTAGTTCTTCTTTCTGTCAGGTAGATCGACTTCTTGAGCTAAGATGTAATCCACCACTTCTTTGGTCAATGTGTAGCTTTCAGTAGCAAATGTATCAATCTTTGAGTAACTGGTTGTCATGTATTGACTGCTCTAGAGGTTATTAAGCAATCATCTTTTGAAATTTTTACCCTCTACTGCGTCAATTGATTGGATCATGTGACAAGTGTTGACTTTTTCTGAGGATTTCTTCGTTTGATAAATGTTGAACTTGACTTGCTCTTCATTAACCTGCAGTGTCAGTTTTCCTCCTTGGACATCAATTAAAACTTTCCTAGTTGCCGAAGGGCCAACCAAGAATTGATGGTAATTCTTGATCTTCTTTCATATCCAAAACCACAAAATCCACCAGGAAGATGAACTTGTCACCTTTAACCAACACATCTTTAATGATCCATCTGGGGTATTTGATGGATCTATCAGGTAGTTGCAAAGTGATGGTAGTTGACTTCACTTTTCCAGTCCCAATTTCTCTAGGCATTAGATTGATGCTAGTCCCTAGATCACACAGTGCCTTATCAATGGTAGACTCACCAATTGTGCATAAAATTGTAAAGATGTCTAGGTCCTTCAACTTTTGAGGGAGCTTCTTTTGGAGGATTGCGCTGCACTCCTCTGTCAATTTTACCGTCTTAAACTCTTCCAGGTTTATTTTCTTTGACATCACTTCCTTCAGGAACTGCAATAATTTAGCATTTGTGTCAAGGCACCTGGAAAATGAATGTTGATGTGGATTTTCTTGAAGACTTTTAGAAATTTTGTAAATTGTTCATCGAACTTCCAAGAACCTCTGTGGATAAGGTAGTTGTTGCTTTAATGAGAGGATTGTTTGGGAATGAGATTGAATTGCCGATATTTATTCTTTTTTCCCGCAGTCTCAATTTTCTGCTCTTCAACCAATTTTTCATCAACATGATACGAAACAGGTGTAGGAACCACATCCTCTGTAGGCTTGCTCTCTCCAAGCTCTTTTACGCTTCAATGTGATAGCGTTATAGTGCTCCCTTGGACTGACATCTGTGTCATTAAGGAATTTCCATTTTTGGTTGGAAGGTAATTACAATTGCTAGTTGACCAATATGTACTTTTAAATTCTTCATTTTGGTTCTCATGTGGGTCATATGAGTCTTAATATTGTTAAGTCTAGACTCATTCTTAATGAATCTTGCCCTTGTCTCTTATATAAAGGTCTCCCAAGTTATCCTCAAGTGATAGCTTTCCTTCAAAAACCTGATTACTAGACCCAAATGGCTTTAGCACGTTCATATTGTTACCATGAGAAAGGTTATGATGGTTTCGCAGTCCAAGATGGTATTGGTTTGCTGAGTAGTTTCTTCTCTAATTAAAATTTTTGCATTCACATACTAGACTCGTTCATTCTCCATCTCGGACTCATGGTATGAAGTAGAAGCAACCATGATAGAATTTTCTTTTTTTCTGAGTTCCTTGTGATGTCAATGCAACTATTTAAGTTGCGAGAGTGGACATTTAAACTGTAAAGGCTGTAATGGGATCCACTTCATAAAGATCAACAACTTTCTTTGCATTTGAACACTCGCTTGGCCATTGATAGTTGTTGGTGGCTATTTCATCCAATAGTGAATAGGCAGCATTTGGAATCTTAGCCATTAAAGTACCCTCTACTGCAGCATCTACTACTGTGCATGCTTAAGCATTCAACCCATTGTAGAAGATCTCTATCTGTGTCCAATTCTGATAACCATGCTAAGGACATCTTCTAAGTAGATCTTTAAATCTCTCACACGCCTCATAGACTGGTTCGAATTCTATTTGTCTGAACTGGCTAATTTCACTCCAAAATAAAGCTTCCTTGGAAGGAGGAAAGAATTTGGTAAGAATTTCTGAGATAATCCCTCTCAAGTTGTGATGGATCCATATGATAATGATTGGAACAATGCTTTGTCTTTATCCCTAAAGGAGAAGGAAAATAGACGGAGTTTGATGGCGTCTTCACTAACGATGTTCATCTTCACGGTATCGTAGATCTCAATAAAATGACCAAGATGAGTATTTGGATCACCCG